TATATATATATACATATGTACCTCTTGTGCTATCAACAGACTATGTCTTTATATATATATATATACATATGTACCTCTTGTGCTATCAACAGACTATGTCTTTATATATATATATATATATACATATGTACCTCTTGTGCTATCAACAGATCCTATACATTTCATTTATTCCTATTGCTCATTAGAAAAAAACAACATATTTATTTGAATCAAAATAGTTAATGCGAAAAAGCAAATAAATAAAAAAAGCAGCTTTCACTGGCGTTTTACCGTTTCGCATGCTTCAATGAAACCTAAGGCGAAACTGTATTGTAGTTGTAGGATTCTTGGATATTATTAGTAACAGGAAAGCTACCTTTATAAACGAATTAACTTATAAAGTAATCGAGTTGATCTTATATAATAAACTGACTAGAATAACACAATCCAATAGACAAAAAACTGAAACATAAAATGATTAGAATGCACTAAATCAGTTGAGTACCCTCGTTGTTAACAATGGTTTAACATCTGTATCCAACAATATCTCGGGAGGTTTGGACATCTTAGGAGACTTAGCTTACTCCTCGTTGTTAACAATAATTTAACTCCTGTATCCAACAATATCTCGGGAAGTTCGGACATCTTAGGAGACTTAGCTTACTCCTCGTTGTTAACAATAATTTAACTTCTGTATCCAACAATATCTCGGGAGGTTCGGACATCTTAGGAGACTTAGCTTACTCCTCGTTGTTAACAATAATTTAACGTCTGTATCAAACAATATCTCGGGAAGTTCGGACATCTTAGGAGACTTAGCTTACTCCTCGTTGTTAACAATAATTTAACTCCTGTATCCAACAATATCTCGGGAGGTTCGGACATCTTAGGAGACTTAGCTTACTCCTCGTTGTTAACAATAATTTAACTTCTGTATCAAACAATATCTCGGGAGGTTTGAACATCTTAGGAGACTTAGCTTACTCCTCGTTGTTAACAATAATTTAACTTCTGTATCCAACAATATCTCGGGAGGTTTGGATATCTTAGGAGACTTAGCTTACTCCTCGTTGTTAACAATAATTTAACTTTTGTATCAAACAATATCTCGGGAGGTTTGGACATCTTAGGAGACTTAGCTTACTCCTCGTTGTTAACAATAATTTAACTTCTGTATCCAACAATATCTCGGGAGGTTTGGACATCTTAGGAGACTTAGCTTACTCTTAAATCCATAATACTAAAGTATGTTAGACATTTGTCTGGATGTTTGTACTTTTGTTGTTCCTTTTACGTCTTTGCAAATGGATAAGTTTGAAACTTGGTAATTTTATAAGCTCATTTGACCCAACAAATTTTGTTGTAACACTTTATTACCTAAACTTAAAAGTTATCACGAAATGTTTTGAAACTGTCAAAATAACGTCCTTAATTAATTAATAGAAAGCATTTATACGTTAATTAAGTTAAACCAATTAGTATTTATAACCAGTAATTAGGCTCTTTTTCAGAAAGTACTAATTTGTTTAATTAGATGCTCTAACGAACGATCCTTAGATAACGTAGTGAAAACCACCATTTTGTTTAATTTCATTTTCAAGACCAACATGCTAACTCACCTATCAAATGGTGATCTTGGTCCAGAACTTTCGAACTCTGGTGTTTTAGTTTCCGGAATACCTGATACAATAAATGCAAACGCTGTTAGTCAAAAAGTAGAAGTCTGAGGTTGACGTATTAAAACACATAAAAGTAGAACACTTACTGAAGTCTGAGGTTGACGTATTAAAACATATGAAAGTAGAACACTTACTGAAGTCTGAGGATGACGTATTAAAACACATATACATAGGTCTTTATTGAAATCTTAAGTGAATGTACCTAGAATCAGTGGACAACTAGAAAAGGACTCTTCAGTGATTAGATAACTGAACAACGAAAGACATCCTTACCACTCCAAACCTAAACCAAAACTATGGAGACTTTAGAAAGTAAAATAATCTACTAAGCATAATAATTATGGTTAATCTTCTAACTGGAGAATACTTTACACTGTAAACAAATGTAATAGTTTATCAATTACTCTTCTAAACGTTGAAAAACAGGAATAAGACTTAGTAGTGGATGGTAATCTAACAAATGGTTATTCCTCTAAATGTTAACAGTTGGAAGAGGAGAACTAGATTACTGTACTCTGTAGGAATGACAACAGTTGGAAGAGGAGCCTACAGAGTACAGGAATCTAATTAATGTTAACAGTTGGAAGAGGAGCTTACAGAGTACAGGAATCTAGTTAATGTATATAGCACAAAATATTAGCACTTAGATGCGGGATTGAAAGCCCCCTCGTGATTCACCGATCAAGCTCCTCCATTATCCCAAATTAATTACTTCTGCAGCTATCCCCAAAAGGGGTCCATATAAGAAACAAGCTCCGTTAAGACATCCACTCATGGGGGTATGACACAGTGTCAAATATGGCGCCCCCAGAACCCAGAAAGGAGCGAGGAACACAGAACCTGCTGCAAGATTTTGATTCAGCGACCCTGAAAACTTTCTTCTATGTTCCTATCATACCTAGGTGACTTTCCAAACGCGTTTTAACCCCTCTTCGTAACCCCTCAGTAGGGGGCTACTTACATCATATCGATAAGGACACCCCAAGTCGGTTTAGAAAGTTTGGTCCTTCTAATTCTAAAAATGTTGAAGGTGATCACGGACAAACTCACAATGTTAATTAATATAGGTTGTAATAATTCGTTCTTCAAATGTAAAATCAAACTGGCTAAAGATTCTACAGTGTAAACTGATTTAACAAACATAATAAATAATGGTCCGTACCTAATAGCAAAATAGAAGTAAATCTTTTAGTTATTCCTGCAGATGTGGCTTATAAAAGAGTAGCGTATAACCCGTCATTTTTGACGGGGCAAGTACTACCACCCCCACCCCATAGTGTACCCTTACCTCACATTTCATAGCTAATTGCAATAAATAAATTTTGAGAAATCAAGCTTGATCAACATAGAGGCAGAAAAGCGCATTTCAGGCAGTCAAACGTTCGTAAACTCCTTTGTGAGACAATCAAAATTAAGATCATTCATGAAATGAATTCGTGGCGTATTTATAAAATAATTATTGGTAAAAAGCAGTTAGGTTAACAACTTCTAATATATAGAAAAGCCAGTATGTTTTGGTAACACTACGTTCCAACAATTGCTTTTATATCATGCTGCTTAGGAACAAAAGTATAACATAATATTGTTGTTAGTCTACGTACTGAAAGTATAAAATGAAATGTATAGACAACAAAACTGGAAAATGTTTTGTTGATTTCTTAATATAGAGTCTCCGTTGATTAAAGAGGTCTGTCTTTTTATTAAAAACGTAGGTGACATAACAGAAAATAGCTTAATTCAGAAACGGTTTAAGTTTAAAATTGAATCGATATTTTTACTTTCATGATAAATTTTATGCACTTGGTTCTAGGCTAGGTGATCCCACACTACGTCTTTACTTTAGGCTTATTATACTAACATTCACAACACTTATAAGGTTTCACAGCACCCCTCCCCCTCACGGCCCCCTTGCACCCCCATCACTAAATTCGTAATGGACAGACAGTAATCGAACTATTCTATCTGGATAGATCCATTTTGGTTTTCATAACTCCTCTTATTTCGAGAAATCAAAAGTGACGTGACGTGACACACACTGGCTTTACTATAGTTTAGATGATAATACGAAAAACTTGACAACGATTTTTTCCCTTTTTTTGATAAAAGATGGGTAAGTTTAAGTTCCATCAAACACAAAGACAAACTAATTACTCCAGTTTCTTCTATAAAAGGCATAAAATATCTCACTTGAAATAAACAACATATTTCCCTTCTTGAACAAATGGTTTTGAATCTCTGGTGGTGATAAATCGTGGTGACATTTCTTGACAAAACTATTAAATGTCTTTCATATCGTTTTTAATAATATTTACACGAAACGTACTGTAAACATTTCATATTTCCTTACAAGATGAAATTAATATATTTATGGATGCTTTGCTTATATATGTTTGGTATTACGTTTACCCCGTATACGTATTCGCTCAATCTTTATCATATAACTCATGGAATATGCACTATACTGCCATCTATTGACCATACCTTTAATTGTAGACTTGAAGGTCTTGTTTTTTTTTGTTGTTGTTTTTTCAAATCATATCATTAACTTTCTTTGGAAATTTATTCTTGTAATATTTTAAAAACGGATCCTTAAAAAAAGTCTAGTAGAAAATAAGTAACATGGATATATTTACGTTCAAGAAATAATCATAACCAATGGTATATTTCGGTGGGGTGAAAACCCTAAAAAAATTAAAAGCATTACTGGAAATAACAAGATATATATACACGTCACGGGATATTTGTTTAACAGACAAGGCCTTACTTTGATACGTCAGAAAAAGAAAACTTAAGTTGCTGATCATCAATTCAGTTTTAAGAAAAAGAAGTAAGTATAATCAGTAGTGTAAACTCAGCACAACCAAATCCAAATTGATCAGCAACATTCGAAACACTTATAGTGCATGGAATTAGAAGCTAAATTATTTGGGAAGTAATAAGTACCACTATGTAAATGAATCTAATTACATCGCTGCAATATACTGCCTCCTATTTGTAGTTTATTGGTAAGGTAATCTTCGGAAAGTTTCTTTTTAGGCCCTTTATAAATAATGGGACCCGCAAGATGAAGCAGTATTGAACTGAACTGAAATTGGATGTATTTTAGTTATAAAAGAAAGTTGACTGGTTTCTTACCTGGAAGCTGTTCAGTCAAGGATCGTGGTGACATATACCCAGAAACAGGAAGTTGGTATTCCTGCATCATGTACTGATCCTTTGGCTCTTTGCTACTGGAAATAACAAAACTCTTATTACTACTAATAGCCTAGTAGCTAAAATATCTCTAGTTCAAACAGAAATAACGCCAAAGAAGTTAGAATTCTCATGTTGTATAATCTTTCTTGCATTTTTCAGTCGGTTTTATCTCTATTACTGATTTAAGAGAAACTAATTCTTGTAAAGTTGTCTTAGTCTTGCTTTAAACAAATAAGTAGAGTAAGCACAACTATCCAACAATTCTATTGAAAAGAAGGACGCCATCTACGCAATCCCAACCTGTTTGAAAGGTATTGCGATATCAGCTAGCAGCTTTGGACTTTTTTTTAAAGGGCATTACAATATCATCTAGAATTTTTTTAAGTTTTCTAAATGATATTACAGTGATATCATATGGGAATTTTGTATATTTTTAAAGTATTATAAGTAATTCTAAGTGATATTAATATACCATATAACATTCTGACATTGTCCAAAAGGCACTGAGATAAAAGTTTGAAATTTAAAGATCTCTACTGGGCATTGTACTATAAGTCAGAAAGTTAGATATATACACTGGGCATTGGAATAAAATGTAGAAAGTTAGAGATCTATACTGAGCATTGGAGTATCATTTATAAAGTTAGAGCTCTATATTGGGCATTGTAATATAAGTCACCAAGTTAGAGATCTATGCAGAGCATTTGAATATAGTTTAGAAAGTAAGGGATCCATGTTGGGTATTGGAATATAATCTAAAAAGTAAGATATCTATATTAACTGTATGTGTTTTTCATAGCAAAGCTACATCGGGCTATCTGCTGTGTCCACTGAGGAGAATCGAATCCCTGATTTTAGCTTTGTAAATTAATAGACTTACCACTGTCCCACCGGGGGACATCTATACTGAACATAACGATATCATCTAAGGAACTAGTGTTCTACACAGGATATAAGGATATCCTCCAGGAAGCTAGGGTCAATGGCGTAGCAAGAGGGGGCAAGGGGGGGCAGTCGCCCCAGAGCGCAGGTATGAAGGGGCGCAAAATTTCCTCGGGTCTATAATGCCTATTAATTAATAATTATGCCCTCCCCTAGGATATAGTGCAACTGCTCTACCTTAAGTAAATACGACGTTACGTTATTTGTGTGTATTACGCTTGTAGTTTTAACTTTTAAAAGCCGTCACTGAAATATAGTGAGACCGAATTGACGTACAGAAGTAAATTACACTATTCCATCATTCATCTGTAGATCAAATACAAGCCCTAGAGTACAAGGTACAAGTAAGTGTATGTTCAACAAAAAGAAAATACGAGTTTGATGTAACATATTAACTGGTGTGCAAGACTGGCAATATATGCAACAGGCAAGGCCTAGATCTAGATCTAGTAAACATTATAGGCCTAATGTAGTGATTTGTAATTGCAATGGCTGATTGTAAATCATGTCTTACACCAACTAATGTACTAGACTTTACGTCTAATTGCAGTTATAACTTTATTTCTAGACCCTAGGTCCATCATCATACAAATTGCAGCCTATATTATAGG